TTGACAACCTCAATGTTGAAAACCCTCAGTGTCGACAACCTCTGAGAACCTAAGTGTTGAGAACCTCACTACTGAGAACCTTAGTGCTGAGAACCTCTGAAAACCCTCAGTGTTGAGAACCAGTGTTAATAACGTCGTGTTGAGAACCTCAGGTCCCAGACACAGGTGTGATCACTCTCCAGATCAGGAACTGATTTGAGGAACTGATTGAGTTCTCTTCTGAAGACAGCTGGGGAAATTAGTGATAATTTCCCTTTTATATATGATGAAAGAAGCTAAAGAGTCGTGGTTCCTTTGCACTTATTGATTCTTTCTCAACGTACTCACCGTGCATCTTCTTTTTAATTATAGGAATTATGGATATATATATATATATATATTATATATATATATATATATATATATTATATATATATATATATATATATATATATATATATTATATATATATAAATATATGCAAGGAATTCGCAAGAGCAGGCGAAATATACACAACACTGATCTCTGGCTGAAGGAGACTCGAACCTACAAAACTTGGAAAAAAAGGTACGCAGCGCTTTACCAATCTACCCACACTGGACCAATACCTTGGAGTCCAGCTTGCGCTAGACGTTGATCCAAGGCACCCAGCTTTCAGGGAGAAGGCTTACGCTTTGTGTATATTTCCCTGCTCTTGCGAATTCCTTGCATTGTTAAAAATTTTAAAGTAAGGCTGATGCATGCACTGGATGAGATGAAAAGTTGTAAGCCTTCCCCCTGAAAGCTGGCTGCCTTGGATCAAAGACTAGCGCAAGCTGGACTCCAAGGTATTGGTCCAGTGGTGGGTAGATTGGTAAAGCATGCTTTAGCTTGTTCCAAGGTTCGTAGATTCGAGTCCCCCTTCAGCCAGAGATCAGTGTTTTATATATATAAAAAAACAGCAGAATGCTGATGTCTTACTCATCTACCTGTCGATACTGTATCCAGGATAGATGGAAGCACTGAACCAGGAGAGGTAATAGTGTCTGGAAAATTGGGAGGTAATTAGGATCGACTGGAGAAAGGATAGATAGCATGATTTCCCCAGGCCATGAGCTCTAATCCCCCAGGCTCACGAGCTCTGATTCCCCACGCTCACTGGCTCTGATTCCCCAATGAGGTGCACTCCCGGGCCAGGGGTAGACCCCCTCAGTATCGCGTCGAGGTCGGGCGCTCTCATCTGTACCCCCCCGCTTGTCAGTCTTCTCTGAAAGAGCTATTATTCATTAGCCGTAATTGGAGCTTCAATGGGTTTAATTGGCAATTTGCAAAACCCAAAATCCCTCAATTTGTTTACCGGAGCCGGTTGTTTCTGATCTCAACTGACGCAAGCACTCTCGTCCACTTGGTGAAGATGGTTCACGTGGAACAAGAGAAGTCTTCTTTTAAGCAATGCTTTATGTTTTCCTTGAAACGTTGTTCGTAATCTGCCTCACAACTGTCTTAATTGTTTTTAAGTTGGTCAATGTCTTATTTTGAAATTTTGTTTTTTTTAAATTTGGTGTAAAACCTTCTTTAACACTGTATTTTAATACCTCAAAATAATTTATATTTGTTGATTTTAAAGGTGTGTTTCTGCTTTACATTATTTAAAGCCTTCTTAATGCTCTCATTTGTGATCTAGTTATTATTTGTCTTAAAGTCTGGTTGATGTTTTATATTGTAGCCTCGTTGATGCTTTATTAAGAGGCCTGGTTGATGCATTTTATGAGGCTGTATTGATGCTCTACCTTGAAGTGATGTTGATGCCCTGAAGGACTGTCTGAATGTTGACGTCAACGATGCACAAGACGAAAAGTACCAAAGGTTTAGGGTTAGATTCATGTGTTGTGTCCAGAGGTCATTAGTGGTCGCTCTCAACCAGTGGTCATTAGTGCTCTCTTTCACTCAGTGGTTATTAGTGGTCCCTTTCACTCAGTGGTCATTAGTGGTCCCTTTCACTCAGAGGCTTCACTGAAAGTTATCTGTAGGGACTTCTACCACAACTACCGTGCCAACACGGTAATAAATCAGGAATTAACCACACACACTCATACACATACACACACACACACACACACACACACACACACACACATACACACACACACGCACACACACACACACACACACACACACACACACACACACACACACACACACACACACACACAAACCTTCTGGAGTTTTATGATAAAATAACAGAAGTAAGGGCACGAGAGCGAGGGGTTTGGGGTTTATTGGGATCTTCTTGGACTGCAAAAAAGGCCTTTGACACAGTTCCTCACAAGGAATTAGTGCAGAAGCAAGAGGATCAGGAGCATATAACAGGAAGGGCACTGCAATGGATCAGAGAATACCTGACAGGGAGGCAACAACGAGTCATGGTACGTGATGAGGTATCACAGTGGGCGCCTGTGACAAGCGGAAAATCCACAGGGGGCGGTCCTGGACCAGTGCTATTTTTGGTATATGTGAACGACATGATGGAAGGTTTTGACTCAGAAGTGTCTCTGTTCGCGATGATGTGAAGTTAATGAGGAGAATTAAATCAGTTGAGGATCAGGCAGGACTTCAAAGAGACCTGGGACAGACTGGAACCTGGTCCAGCAACTGGCTCCTCGAAATTTTAAAACCCGCCAATGCAAAGTCATGAAGATTGGGGGAGGGCGCAGAAGACGCAGACAGAGTATAGGCTAGGTGGCCAAAGGGCTGCAAACTCGCTCAAGGAGAAAGATCTTGGGTGAGTATAACACCGAGCATGTCTCCGGAAGCACACATCAACCAGATAACTGCTGCGGCATATGGGCGCCTGGAAAACCTGAAAACAGCGTTCCGAAACCTTAGTAAGGAATCGTTCAAGACACTGTACACCGTGTACGTCAGGCCCATACTGGAGTATGCAGCACCTGTTTGGAACCCGCACTTGATCAAGCACGTCAAGAAATTAGAGAAAGTACAAAGGTTTGCGACAAGGTTAGTTCCAGGGCTAAGGGAAATGTCCTATGAAGAAAGGTTAAGGGAAATCGGCCTGACGTCACTGGAGGACAGGAGGGTCAGGGGAGACATGATAACGACATATAAAATACGGCGCGGAATAGACAAGGTGGACAAAGACAGGATGTTCCACGGAGGGGACACAGAAACAAGGGGCCACAATTGGAAGTTTAAGACACAGACGAGTCAAAGTGATGTTAGGAAGTATTTCTTCAGTCATAGAGTAGTCAGGCCGTGGAATAGCCTAGAAAGTGGCGTAGTGGAGGCGGGAACCATACATAGTTTTAAGACGAGGTTTGATAAATTTCATGGAGCAGGGAGAGAGAGGACCTAGTAGCAACCAGTGAAGAGGCGGGGCCAGGAGCTAAGACTCGACCCTTGCAACCACAAATAGGTGAGTGCACGCGGAGTGGCGTTGAACAGGTTGGGGCGGCATCCACATACAGGTTAATAATAATAATAATCTTGATTTCTACAAGCACATGTACAAGGGATACAGGCCTACCTGTATGTTATGCAGAGCATTTCGCGCAAATTGCGTCATGTCCCAGGATGCGACCCACACCTAGATATCCATTTTACGATGTTTTCCAGCCTTATACCGGGGAATCGATCCCCGCACCGCAGTGAGTGTGAGCTGAGAACGCTAGCAGTCGAGATACGGGACACCCAGTATAAAGACTTAATAATTACCATAACCATACGTCAGAATGACCCAACATCGTTCTTTCATTATACGTCGTACGTCGACGAATCTAGTTTGTTCTTCATTGCCTAAACTCAGTTCAGCATAACACCTGGCTTCTTATTTCTCAGAAATTTCCAAACTTTTTAATTTCCCACCAGGAACCTGTGTAAACATTAGGAAATATTACCATCTCTTTACGTTATAATTCTTATCAAAGCGGAATAGCTAAACAGGTTATATATATATGGAAGGAAATATAATATACCTCAATGAAGGAGGGGCACTGCAGTAGCCCTACTGGCCCATGCTAGGCAAGTCCAGCTCACACCCACCTACACTCACTCATGTACGTGTCTAACCAATTTTTAAAACTCAAGATTCTGGCTTCAACAACGATGCTCGGGAGTTAGTTCCACTCATCCGTGTCTGGTAAATACCAACACTACCTCAAAATTGTGGTTCAGTAGCTGTATGAACATTCTTATTCAATAAACGAGTGTTTAAAAGCTTCCCCGGAAACAAGGGGTCAAGTGTCGAGTTAAATTAAAGGGCACGTAAGTCCCCCCTGCCTTGTATTAACGTGTTTTCTATGAACAAGGTGGGAAAATAAGAAGGGGGAACTCACGTGCCCCTTAGAAGATGGGGGAACTTACGTGGCCCTGGGAAGACGGGGGAACTTACGTGGCCCTGGGAAGACGGGGGAACTTACGTGCCCCTTGTGGTACTGAATAACAACCTCCATTTGTTGATGAACAACGCGTAAGTAGTCAAGAGTGTTGGGTTAGAATCTTCTTGCCATAACTGATGCTCTTTCGAAATTCTCCAGACATTACAGTATTTCTTGTAAGTTATCAGAAGATTATGACTATTACTAAGTCATTAATCCACCTGAAACTCAGATGGTGAACCATTAATTATTATCGTCAGTGGGTAGTTACAACGTCGAACTTGTAAAGTAAAAGGACACAAGTGCAACTAATGTGACATTTTATTGTGGCAACGTTTCGCTCTCCAGGAGCTTTATCAAGCTTGATAAAGCTCCTGGAGAGCGAAACGTTGCCACAATAAAATGTCACATTAGTTGCACTTGTGTCCTTTTACTTTACATATTGTCGGTAATTCTACCAACTTTATAACAACGTTGAACTTGGTGTGTACAAGGGCCACGGTTCCAATCGCCCCTAGTATTCTGTTTATTCATTACGAGAGAGACAGACAGATACAGAGACAGAGACAGACAGACAGACAGACAGACAAACAGAGAAAGAGATAAAGAGATACAGCGACAGAGAGTCAACAGGTAGACAGAGAGACTTACCATTTCAGGCTTGGTGTAGCAGGTACCCTTTCCAGAGCAGAGAGAACCCTCGCCACACTCAGCTGAGCGTACAGTGACCTGAAGTTTGAAACACTCAGTCGATGACCAGGATGAGCGACCTGCAATGACAAATTATTATATTATTGTAGCTTTAGATACCATCTTCTGAACGCAGAATATTATGACTACATATGTACAACCAAAACTCTTTTATTCATATAAGTGAAAAACAGCAAACTTTCTGTATATACGCGATAAACTTTTCCTCTGTGTATTTATTATTTGATGTGTGTGTGTGTGTGTGTGTGTGTGTGTGTGTGTGTGTGTGTGTGTGTGCGTGCCTCTTGAACTGTCTGTGTCTAGCACAAATGTGACCCACTCTCTGAGCACTAGTGTGACCCACTCTCTGAGCACCATTGTGACCCACTCTGAGCACCAGTGTGACACACTCTCTGAGCACCAGTGTGACCCACTTTCTGAACAAAAGGGTGACTCCATTCCCTCAACACTAGTGTGACCCTCGGAGTCACTTAGTACTTGTCTCAACACACACCAAATCTCCTTCACGCCACATCTATCAACATCTCTTCCATTTTATGCTAGCACCAGCACCCTCACCAGCAGCACCACCAGTGGCAGCACCAGCACTTCCACCTGCAGCAGTAGCACCAGCAGCAGCAGCAGTAGTAGCACCTGCAGCAGTAGCACCAGCAGCAGCAGCAGTAGCACCAGCAGCACCAGCAGTTGCAGCACTAATAGTAACAACAGCAACAGCAGAACTAGCACCATCTGGTGGTGCTACATGACAAGCAGCACCACCATCACCACTACCAGAAGCAGCAGCAGCAGCAACAACACCCTCACAGCCGCTACTACTCCAGAATTACGGAATGTTTTGTATCCATTACCTGTGTATATTATGGCATAATAATGCCATAATATACAAAATATACACAGAGCTTAATGTACGCACTGTTTATGATGCTATATTATAAACAATGCACAGTACCGAGAAATTTACGAGTATCCTCACTGATAAATTAAACACATGTGCAACTCTTGGGTATCTTTATTGAGGAAACGTTTCGCCACACAGTGGCTTCATCAGTCCATACGTAGGAGAAACTTGAAGAACAGGAGGAGAATGAGGTAATCAGTCCCTCAACCTTGAGTCGATGTGTTCAGTCCATCAATCTTGAATAGAATACGGCATATCAGCGGAGAAGCAGCTTATAAACCGTATGGCAGGAGAGGTGCAGCAGTCATAGGTCGTATCACATTTGTTCAATGTGGAAGTAGGTCGTGCCCAAGAATTAGGCAAGCGAAGAATTCCTAAGTATTAAGATCCCAAGAAGTTATAGTGTCTGACAGATTTGCAGATGAATGGTTCAGAGAACCGACATGTTGATAAATTAGACACATGTGCAACTCTTGGGTATCTTTATTGAGGAAACGTTTCGCCACACAGTGGCTTCATCAGTCCATACGTAGGAGAAACTTGAAGAACAGGAGGAGAATGAGGTAATCAGTCCCTCAACCTTGAGTCGATGTGTTCAGTCCATCAATCTTGAATAGAATACGGCATATCAGCGGAGAAGCAGCTTATAAACCGTATGGCAGGAGAGGTGCAGCAGTCATAGGTCGTATCACATTTGTTCAATGTGGAAGTAGGTCGTGCCCAAGAATTAGGCAAGCGAAGAATTCCTAAGTATTAAGATCCCAAGAAGTTATAGTGTCTGACAGATTTGCAGATGAATGGTTCAGAGAACCGACATGTTGATAAATTAGACACATGTGCAACTCTTGGGTATCTTTATTGAGGAAACGTTTCGCCACACAGTGGCTTCATCAGTCCATACGTAGGAGAAACTTGAAGAACAGGAGGAGAATGAGGTAATCAGTCCCTCAACCTTGAGTCGATGTGTTCAGTCCATCAATCTTGAATAGAATACGGCATATCAGCGGAGAAGCAGCTTATCAACATGTCGGTTCTCTGAACCATTCATCTGCAAATCTGTCAGACACTATAACTTCTTGGGATCTTAATACTTAGGAATTCTTCGCTTGCCTAATTCTTGGGCACGACCTACTTCCACATTGAACAAATGTGATACGACCTATGACTGCTGCACCTCTCCTGCCATACGGTTTATAAGCTGCTTCTCCGCTGATATGCCGTATTCTATTCAAGATTGATGGACTGAACACATCGACTCAAGGTTGAGGGACTGATTACCTCATTCTCCTCCTGTTCTTCAAGTTTCTCCTACGTATGGACTGATGAAGCCACTGTGTGGCGAAACGTTTCCTCAATAAAGATACCCAAGAGTTGCACATGTGTCTAATTTATCAACATGTCGGTTCTCTGAACCATTCATCTGCAAAAGAGTATCCTCACTGCTGAGCAGACTATCATCTGCTCAGCAGACTTTATCAGTCCCCTATTCGGCCCAGTACTTTTACTGTCTCTAGTACTGTATTCCTCTCTGTATGGAGCTGTTGAAGCTGGCTGTATAGGACAAACGTTTCAGAAAAACTTGCCCAGACTATCACTACTCACTGTTGAATTTTGCTGGTTATACCTGGAGCATACCTGGAGATGGTTTTGGGGGTCAACGCCCCCACGGCTTGGTATGAGACAAGGCCTCATGGTGGATCAGGATCTGATCAACCAGGCTGTTACAGCTGGCCGCACGCAAACTGACTTAAGAACCACAGCCCGGCTGGTCAGGTACTGACTTTAGGTGCCTGTCCAGTGCCTTCTTGAAGACAGCCAAGAGTCCATTGGTAATCCCCCTTATGTATGCTGGGAGGCAATTGAACAGTCTTGGGCCCCTGATACTTATTGTGTAGTCTCTCAGCGTACTCGTGGCGCCCCTGCTTTTCACTGGGGGAATGTTGCATCGCCTGCAGAGTATTTTGCTGTCATAGGGAGTGATTTTTCGTGTGCAAGTTTGGTACTAATCCTCTAGGATTTTCCAAGTGTATATTATCATGTATCTCTCTTGCCTGTGCTCCAGGGTAACTTAAGTGCCTTATCGTACTTATGTGTGCCGTTAAAGTTCTTTGTACACTCTCCAGGTCAGTAATTTCGCCTGCCTTGAAGGAGGCAGTTAGTGTACAGCAGTATTCCAGCCTTGAGAGAACAAGCGATGTGAAAAGAATCATCATGGGATTGGCATCCCTAGTTTTGAAGGTTCTCATTATCCATCGTATCATTTTCTAGCACATGCGGGAGACACATTGTTGTGGTCTTTGAAGGCGAGATCCTCTGACATTATCACTCCCAAGTCCTTCACATTTCTTTTTCGCTCTATTGTATGGTTAGAATTTGTTGTATACCCTGATAGTTTTAATTTCCTCAAGTTTTCCATATCTGAGTAGTTGAAATTTCTCTTCATTGAACTTCATATGGTTCTGCGTGGCCCATTTGAAGATTTGGTTGATGTCAGCTTGGAAACTCGCTGTGTTTTCGATGGAGGTCACTGTCATGGCAATTCGGTGTCATCCGCAAGGGAAGACACGGAGCTATGGCTTACATCTCTGTCTATGTCAGATATGAGGATGAGGAATTGTATGGGAGTACACCTCAGTACACGTGCTCGTAGCACGAGCACGTGTACTGAGAAACGAGAAAAAGGTCAGCAAATGAAGTTTGCACAGCAAGCTCCATCAGTTCCACATGACTACACCTGTGTTCGTAATAGATAACCAAGCTCGAGCTTGGGTATTTGTTACCCAATATGGACTTCGTAAAGCAATGTTACTCTCCCAAAAGTGTAAAGGCGTGATAGAGGCGCTGCAACTCTCGCTGTGACCCTGGAGAGTGGAAAACCATGATAAACACATCACAACAGCCCAAGTGACCTCGCTGAAGAACACAAAAATTCTATTGAAACTTGTTACGGTAAAAACTTGCTTCTACGACTTGCCGTAAATTTAGCTAGACAAAAAAGATTTAAGACTTAGGGTCACAACGTGGAAAGCAGAGCACAAGGGAAGCCAGGATAACAAATGAGGCTAAGGAGAATGAAAGGTGGGCACGGGAAGGAAGCGAAGGATGAGGGTGGTAAGGAGAGAGGAGAGAGAGCAATAGATGGATAAACAAACTTGGGATCCCAGCAGTGTGCTTCTATTCTGCTTTCTGTGTGGTAGTTACATTGTGGGAACAGACGATGACTACGTTTTCCTGGCATTTTCCATCACACAGGATGGGTTCCCTTCCTGCATTGTTCCATCACACAGGATGGGTTCCCCTTCCTGTATTGTTCCATCACGCAGAATGGGTTCCCTTCCTGTATTGTTCCATCACACAGGATGGGTTCCCTGCATGTCTTGTTCCATCACACAGGATGGGTTCCCCTTCCTGTATTGTTCCATCACACAGGATGGGTTCCCTTCCTGTATTGTTCCATCACACAGGATGGGTTCCCCTTCCTGTATTGTTCCATCACACAGGATGGGTTCTCTTCCTGTATTGTTCCATCACACATGATGGGTTCCCCTTCCTGTATTGTCCCATCACACAGGATGGGTTCCCTTCCTGTATTGTTCCATCACACAGGATGGGTTCCCCTTCCTGTATTGTTCCATCACACAGGATGGGTTCCCCTGCCTGTATTGTCCCATCACACATGATGAGTTCCCTTCCTGTATTGTTCCATCACACAGGATGGGTTCCCCTTCCTGTATTGTTCCATCACACAGGATGGGTTCCCCTTCCTGTATTGTCCCATCACACAGGATGGGTTTCCCCTCTCATGTTCCATCACACAGGAAGGGTTTCCCTCTCATGTTCCATCACTCAGGATGGGTTTCCCCTCTCATGTTCCATCACTCAGGATGGGTTTCCCCTCTCATGTTCCATCACACAGGATGGGTTTCCCTCTCATGTTCCATCACTCAGGATGGGTTTCCCTCTCATGTTCCATCACACAGGATGGGTTTCCCTCTCATGTTCCATCACTCAGGATGGGTTTCCCTCTCATGTTCCATCACACAGGATGGGTTTCCCTCTCATGTTCCATCACACAGGATGGGTTTCCCTCTCATGTTCCATCACACAGGATGGGTTTCCCTCTCATGTTCCATCACACAGGATGGGTTTCCCTCTCATGTT